TTACTTTAGGAAGTGTGAGAAAGCTCGGTCAAAAGAAATGGGCTAAAGTTCACTTCGGGTGCCTATAGTTTGTGTTCCAATTAGAACACATCAGAGCATACTCAATCGAGTCTGCTCTGCATTTTAATTACAATGCTCTAGCTTCACCTCACCTTCACATGTATTAAGCCCCTGCACATTTCAAAATGGCCATGGGGGTGCTTTAACTAAATCTCATTAAATGTGCTTTAGAAAAAGCATCCTGTGACCATTCTAAAATGGGCAATTTTAATTAGGGTGGCTGTCTGGGAACCACTCTAATTAAAATGTTCTCCTCCCCACCCCCAAACACATGTATACGCAGCCCAAGAGTGGTTTTATGGCAGTTAGATCTGGTTTAGGATGAGATATAGCTTAAATAGGTGATAAAATAGGCATATGAATATTAGAGGCATAGAATATTTGAAACATATTTTAAAAATTGAACACCACCAATAAGATTTTTTGATAAGTTCAGATAGAGTACAAAAATCTGGGATCACATAAGAATTTTTGCTCTTCAGCCTTGAACTACAGTTCTTGCTAAACAGCACATTTGCAGATGAATTAAGATAAGAGTTCTTTTAAAACTTAATTTTAAACCTAGGTAAGAAGTGTTTCTCCCTAACAAGCTGGCCACCTGTTAGTAGCTTTTTAAGATGTTAGGACTAAGAAATTAATTTTAAGTCTACAGCAAGGCTTGAACTCACTTCTCTGGAGTTCTAGTGAGATGTCCTAACCTATTTTATTACTTCATAAAGCTCCCAGATCAAAGCATAAAAGAAAAGGCCAAACTAAAACAGATCCCCTACAAAGTGTCAGCCTCATACTTCCAACCAAATCAAACTAGGACATGTACCTATTAAAAACAGAAGTAACCACTTTTGTATTTATGCAGTCTCCACACTCAAAGCTTGTGTTTTTTTTTCTGAAACATCAGTCACTGTATCTAAGTCTGGAACCCAGATGCCACCTTGTGGCAAAAAGAGCAGACCAAAAAATATACTTTAGCTACAGGCAGGCAAGGTTCTTCGAGTGATATTATCTCTTATTAGACCAACTGAGTAGCTGGGGGGAAAAAAGTTTCCCCCCCACCCCCAGCTACTCATTTGGTCTAATAAAAGATATCACTCAAAGAACCTTGCCTGCCTATGTCCTTAGACCAACACGGCTACAACCCAGCATACTTTAGCTAAACACTCTTTTGAGATGAAATACGTAAGGGGCACCTATGACTGAAACTCTGAATGACACTCCTGAAGTTGTTTCCTAAATAAGTTATTTTAGCAATTATGACATTTTCCCTTGAACATGACTAAAAGATATTTTATTTCTGAAGTCAGGGCCTGTGAAAAACAAAACTAAGTCTGCCTTGTTATTACTGAATCCTTTAGAAAAGGCTAATCACACCAAAACCAAAAGTCATCAAATGTTTAATACTTAATCCAATGTCTCATATTAGTACATCTAAATCTGCAGGCAGCTTGCAACAATAACTAGAAGAGGCTTTAAGTGTCCCTTCACCACTTACTGAGTTTTGGCAAGCCATCGAGGGCCGCATGACAGGTTGCCAGAGACAGAAATATTCATTTTCCAAATTTTTTAGGGGCCCCACGGGCCAGATAGAATGGCCTGGCAGGCCAAATTTTGCCCACCCCTGATATTATACTACTGATTTTACAGATAAACTCACTGTCTCAGCTTGCCTAAGTAAGGAATGGTATAAAGAAAGGAACTGGAAATGGAACCCAAGGGCATGTCCAGACAAATGCAGATGTGTGGTATATGGCACCACAGACTTGTCTGCAGTGCAACATACCACACGTGCAGGCATTCCCTGTGCTGCTACTTTGCAGCAAAGGGTTTTTTTTTTGACCCTGGGAGATCCTGGGGTCAACAAAACTCACGCTGAAAAAAGCAGGGCAGTGCATGTGATGGCAGCACACACCACCCCAAACTGGAGCCTGGCCAGCCAGAGAACAGCCTGGCTGCCAGCTGGCTTCCTGCCATGGCTACAGCCCTGGGAGGTCCCCAGGACCCCAGATAAGGCTTCTGGGGCCAGCACACCCGCTGGCCTCAGCTTTCCCTTCCCAACCCGGGATAACCTGCTGTGTGCCAGAGCACACATGGCACAGGCATTCCCCGAGGACAAGTAGCTGCAGTACAAGGTGTGCCCCTGCTACTTGTCCCCAAGGAAACAAATGTCTGCACTAGTGTGGACATGGCCCAAGAGTCCAACAATCCTCAATTCCTTGCTTTAATATTTAACAATACCCTTTAGTTTATTATTTCTTTAGGATGTTTGAACTAAGGTAATTTGTTATGATAAAGTATGTCCTTGTTCACCACTTTGTTTCAGATTTAAGTCCACATATACAGCATTGTCTCCAGTGCTCATAATACAAGACCAGGGGTAGACAACTTGTGGCATGTGTGCCAAAATGACACAGGCAGTGTCTGTGTGTAGCACACACCAGATCAGGGAGGGGACAGACAACAAAGCAACAGAATAGGGCAGGAAGCAGAAAGCAAAGCAGCAGATCAGAGTGACACGTGGGGAGGTGCAGGGCTAGTTTGTGGTATGCCTGGCAAAAAAAGCTGGCCCATTACATTGCAAATCCTTGAACTTTACAGGTAAAGATGGCTTAAGCCTTTTTAAAAATGGAGACCATTTTAATACATGGCAATAACATAAAGCAGCCTGCATCTCAGCAGGTTAAATGGCATAAGCATTGCCTAACTGTTGTGAGTGAGAAAAACCCTGAAGGTTGCATATATTACAGAAGCTGCAAAAATGTCAAATATTAAAGAAGTCAATGGCATGGAACAGCATGAACAGTTACAGTATTAGTGCCAGGAACAGCGTGGCACCATGCTGAGAAGACAAAAACCTATTGCAACTGTATTATTATTTAGCCCTGAAAAACTGTGCCAAGTGACCCAATGCAGGGCAGGGAACTGGTAACCCTTAATCCAAACAAGTACTAGCAATATTTGCAAATACTTATTTGTACAAATTAAGCATGCAACAACAAGTGCAGCAGGCTCTTGCAATATTAAAGTCCTACCTACAAGAGGATATTGATCCTTAGAGATGGTTCCTTATCCTCCACTTTTACCTGTTAATTGATTAGCAAGTCTTAGAACAGTGGGGGCCAACCTTTTTGAAAGTGGTGCCACAAGCTAAACCCCATAACCTAAGTGCCACTCTAAAACCTTTCCCCTGCCCTGATCTGCTGCTCTGCTTTGTGCTCCATGCCTGATCCTCTGCTTTCTCTACTCCGTCCCTGATCCACCATATGCTATGCAGAAGTGGCCATGCCATGCGTGATGCCCATGATGCAAGGTGGCCACCCCATCCTAAAAGACTGCAGGACATATGGTACGTGTTGCAGATCAGTTCTGCTTAAATTTTTACAACCATGTTTTAGAGTTAACCACCCAATGAAATGAAGAGACACTTCAAGCCTCTTCTAGTTATTGTTGCAAGCTGCCTGCAGATTCAGGAAGGCTACAGAGCATCAGTTTACTGTTTAGAACCGGAAGCATTTATCTCCTGAGTGTTATAGCACAAAAGCTTCTTTTTTTTTTTTTTAAATTTTAATCACAACTTAGATTTGCAAATAATTCCATAAAGCAGAATGGGTTCTACAGCCACAGTAACAAATCTGACAGTTTCAACTGCAGGAAAAGAAGGATGAGGGGAGGGGAAGGAAGAGGAAGAAACATATCATGTATTTTATTTGGATTGTTGATTATTTTCTCTCACACAACGCGCACCTTTTTTCCAAAATCCAGCTGCTGGAAATTGGGGTGCAGTTACAAGTAAAGGAAATACATTAGCAGAAGGTTTCTACCACTTCAGCTTTTGCCAGACAAAATCAAAAGTAACCCCATGCACAATCCACAGGGAACAGAACAGCAGCTCCCTAGCTAGTGCTACTCAATTACTTACTACAAAGAAAGATATTTTATTCTTCAGTTTCTCTTTCCTAAACAAGGTATGTATCTTATTCCAGGGTGTGCTGTATGTAAGGAAATATGGTACATGGAACCAGACAGACAGAAGACATGATGGGGCTTTCTGAACTCCATGTATGAGTAGCCCTGAGAGAGAAGAGCTATGAAGCAAAACTACCCTTTGTAAGACCTCTCACCTAGAAAGGAGTGGAGTCATTCCATTCAACTTGCTAGGAATTGAAAATGATTCTCCATGTTTCATGGTCAGCAGTGTCAAAGAAAGATAACAAATGACTACAATCTGTGTGGGTATTTCATGGTCATCCACTGCTAGTGGTAGATCACGGATCAGAAAGTTTCTTCCTGCATCAAAACTTGCAACTCTTATTTACTGCAGAGGAAATGAGAATTCAAGCATGGAAGCTCCCTGCCAAAGCCATCTTTCCTCAGTGCAATGTCACTATTTCACTGGTTAGCCCATTTTGTAGAGAGGTCACAGTGAAGCGTATTGACCTAAGATCAAAGAGCAAGTCACTGACAGAGAGCCCCTCCTGCCCTGTTTCCCGACCTGTAGTTCTAGCCTTCTAGCCACAAAGGTATACTCTCTTCATCCCCCCCCCCCCCCTTTTCCCCCCCCGTTGTTTTACCCTTTTACCCCAAAAGGTTTTCCCCCTTCTCCCCCCCCCCCCCCCATTTTCAAAATGAAAAAGTGAACAAAAACTCCACTCTGTGAAACCTGGTTGACCTTGAAACTAGCAGGTGACCACTGATAATCAACTTTATAGAAAATAACACCTCCATCTCTCAAACTGTAGAACATTGTAACAATAATCATTTAAAAGGATAAATGTTATACTTGCCAAGTAACTGCCTCCATGACTGAAGCCATTTGCATCTATTACAATCGTTAAAATCTGACCTTTACACCTATGCTTTATTTTTTTTCCTCTTGTGCTGAAACTGTATTTCCACTTTTCCCAGATGTATAAATAAATTGATCTCAGAGTTCACACACACACACACACAAGTCTAGTTATTTTATTTTTTGTTAAGTTATCTGTGCAGTCAGTTTAAAAGAACAGTTAACATAATGAATACAGACAAACCACAAAAGCATTAAGTACAGTATCTTAACAGTTAACACTGAAGATGCAATGACCACATTGAATGTGTTTTTGTTTTTTATCCTGGTCATTTCAAACAACCTAAAAAAGTTGAAACATACACAAGTCTAGTTCAGTTTAAAACCTGATGTTAAGCAGCAAGTTGCTCACCGATTGCGGGACAGTATATGGCATTTACTGCAAATAGCTACAGCAGCAGTGCTTCATGAGTGAACTGCATAGAATAAGCCTCTTCGGCAAACATGAAGTCACCATGATAAAAGACATTATCAGCTCCTTAAGAGGTCTAAATTATGCAATCTTCGTAACAAAATTCTGTGGGGATGCAACTGTCCTCATTTTTCTCCTGAACTGTTAACCATAATTTCATCTATTTCCAACAGACATTATGTGCTTGCTCTAGAATCCATGGCAGTAACCTTTTCCAACTAACTGTTTTGTGTACAAAACAGGTAACTGCTGCTTGATCAACGTATTACAGCCCCCTCTATAAAAGCAATATGAGTAACTTTGAAAAAAATTATTAGCTCAAAGAAAAACCCAAGGTACATTCAGTAAAATGGCTGCAATAATAAGGCATGTATTTAGAAAACATATCCCATTAAACACAGATACTCTTGGTCAGTTAAAACTTTTGCCTTACCAAAGATTAGTTTGCACTCATTAATTCCAAAATGTGTGCTCAGGTACAACAGGAATACTTTAGACGTACATTTGGTGAAACTGTCCAGAAAAGCATTTAAGAAAAGAACATGAGTTCTACTGGACTGGCAAAACCTATAACTTACAACTTTTCACATGTACACTTCCACAAATACAGCCTTGTTGTGTAAAACCCCCAAACATGGAAGTTTCTACTTGAGACACCTGCAAAAAAAGGAGAATTTTCCTCTATTTATGTATACTTTAACATCCTCATTACCAAGTGACATAATTCTTACTAAACCCATAATATAAACCTTATGGTCACGGATCACAAGTGTTATAAGGTAGGCAGATTTAGTGTTATTGGCAGCTAGGTCACAGCAGCATTAGTAAAATAGTATTGGCTACTTTTTACAAAAAAGACAGACTGGCTATGAATTCCCTGGAGGAAAACAGATGCCTAGAGAGGGGAAAAAAAAAAGAGTATCTGGCTAGAAGTTCAGGACAAACTAACTTCACAGAGTTCTATATTCATTCATTTTCATTTCCATCTTATTGCATACTTGATCAAAGAAAGTGTCAGTACTCAAACTTGTTCAGATTTCCCTGATTAACTTGCTCCAAAGTCCCTGTATCTCACGTCTTGAGAGCTACCTTGCTGGGTATTTGTATTGCTATAATTTCACTTTTCTTCACATTGTTTGAAACTGAAGACTCCACGTGGGTTACCCATGAGTGGGAGAGACTGGAAATATCAGCCTTTATATGTGTACATCCTATACACACTAACAACTGAAATGTACATAAAGTATTCATGCCCTACAACAAGACTGCAGTCCTTTTGAAGGCTAAAATACATGAAAATTGAGAACAAGATGTCTTAAATAAAATCTTCAGGAAAAAAAAGTGCTCCAATATTTGGCTAGCACTGCTTGGTTGAAAGTTTAGTGTCCTGGAATGACTTGTATGTACACCGAACACACTCTGTTTTGGGGTATGTCCTGCAAGGCAAACACTTGAAACAAGTGGAAAAGGAACCTGAATTCTTCTGGTTAGTTTGACTGCAACAGAGATTTTATTTCCTTCTCCCAGGCTCACCAGAGAGGAGCACTGAGTAGGAAAACTATCAGTACATTTAACCACATTTTATAGAAGATATGTGCAAAGTGAATGAAACCATACTTGAACATGTAACCCTGTAATATAGAGCATGCTTATAGATACATGCTGGTAAACAAAGACAGAATATAGAACTTCCATGGAAGGGTCAGGACAGGCATTAGATTTTAATACTGACACATCAGGAAAAATAGCAGCTCTTTGCAGTGTACTTCAGTGAATACTGTCATTTCCAAATCCTCCCGCATTAGCTCTTAAACAGTATCCACAGATAATTTAAGATATAAAGGCAGTAAAATTACTCTTTTCCCAGACAAGTCTATTCAAAGGAAGAGCCACACGTTGCTGCTGTTACTTGAAGTTCACATGAACCAGTCCACAAATCTTGAAATAAAGGGTTTGTAACTTATAATCGCTATGAAGTTTTAAGACCATTTTCTTTAGTCCTGCTGGCCAGAATTTTAAATACAGGACACACCTCTGGAACTAAACAAGATGCATCCAATTTTTATAAGACAGATAAAACTGTCCCCCATGCAGATTTGTTTAAAGTTTACTTTCTACCCTCTCTAATATCCGAGACAGCACACACATTCTTCTCTGTTAGATACACTTCAAGCACTGGTCTCCAAAATTCCTGAAATATGGAGTTTAATTCTATTTGAAGAATAGTGCCAAAAGAATTCAGGTACTGTATAATTGGGAGCAACTGCTAAATCACTGGCATCAAGCAATCACACCAGCACCAAACATGAGGTACCAAACATATTGCTATAACACTAATAAAGTGTTAAAAGTGGTGCCCACCAAATTGGTCAGAATTTCTTTATTAACTGGTTCTAGAAAAAAAAGCCTGGCATCCAATACTTGACATTAACACATTTAAAGGGAAGTGCTTCGAACATGAACAAGGATGTCACTTCAGAAAACTGAACACTGAGTTCTTATCTCAGACACCAATCCCCAGTAAAAATGAAGTCAGAGGATCAGGTAAGATGACAGAGGTCTAAATCAGGATTGTTTTGCTTTCTGGAGATCAGAACCAGGAAGTCAGGCTTTGTCACTCAATTTTTTTTTCCTTTAGGAAGAACATTAAAACCACCACATCATCTTGTGCATCTAGTACTGATTTCTTATTTATACTTAAAGTTACTAAACCTCACTTCAGAATACTTTCCAAAGCAGGATATCCTTTAAACATCTTTCAAGTTTACATGCATTTACAGGTTGAAGAAAATATATATTTATATATAGCTAAGGACATAAAACTCAATTTCACTACAAGCAGCTGCAGTGCCATAAAGGAAAAATAAGTTAGTAGTCATTTCCAATCTGAAATGCTTACTATGTTCAGACTAATACAAAGGCTAAGCCTATAGACCAGGAAGTAGCATACATTTGTGGGGGTTGGAGCTATAGCTGCTCACTTTTTCTCAGGCTAAGAGATCTCTCTCCCTACCTCCTTTTTCTCTAGTCATATATGGCTCACAGCTGAAGCCCTTCATGAACCTTGACTGAAGTAGTGTATACTTGATGTCCAAAAGTGAAGGTTCATGGCTATTTGTTTTTCCTCTCAGTTTTTTTTCAGTAAAACCAAATTGCTGAATCATACAGTGCAGAGGTGCTTAACCATTTGTTGTTGATGAAATAAGGTCTCAGGAGATCTGCTTTAAGTTGCTTCTTCTGCAGGTGTTCTTCGTTGCCGTGGCAACTTCTGTCTTCCTCTCTGTGGAGTAGATGGAGTCTCCTGCTCAGCTTCAGACTCTGAAGGCTCATTATCTCCCTCCTGGGATCCTGTATCTCCTATCAACTCTCTCAGGAACTTGAACTTCGACAAAAACAGTTGCCAGACAACATACCAACCTATAGGAGACAAGAAAAAAAAAAAAGGCACATTACTCATTTATTTCATGTGAATCCCTATTTTCCTACCTACATTTGTATTTACAAAATTTAGTCAATAGCCCATCAGTCTACTGCTTACTTGCCCTAAAAAGGGTTCCTGCCTCCCCAAAATGTTTTAAAGGCCTATAATTATTATTAGGTTGATTCTGCTGTTAAACTTCTCATCTAAAAACATTTTAACTTGATCTTCTTAAATTTGCTGAAATGTAATCTTGGTTAAGAAAGACCTTTGCACATTCATAAGCAGCTTATGTCCTTGTCCAAACTTGATTTTGTCCTCGTCTGATCCAAAGGCAGCAAATCATGACTTCAGCAGTGTTATGTTTCCCCACGTGTAAAATGGGAATGCTACTTATAAACTTAAGACATTCTCATGAAGAAAGTAGTTATGACTTAACATGCGACATACAAAATGTTATTTTTAGTATGTATTAGTCTGCCGTGCTTAAAGCCAATGACTAACACTTTAGTTCCTGCTGGAAACTGGGCAAATCTAGTCAATCACAAACCTTAGTCATAGCACCTCTATAAATTTAATTAAAAGTCCTCTTTACCCAGAGCTGACAGAACCAGCCCTGCCCAGTTATGCAAGTGTCACTGGAGAACAACAGATTTTCTTTAAACATGCAGAATTCTGTAAAAGCCGTCAAGGAAAACGATAAAATGCTCTCATGTGGGTGCCTGTGGTTGTATACCAAAGTTCATTTTATTTCCACATCTGAATCTGAATCTTTCCCAGTGCAGACAGCTGTCATTGAGGGCATAAACAGGCTTTACCCTGGCAGTCTACTTTCAGATGGCCTTTGCACTTATTAAGTCCCATAAGTTCCCTCCCAGCCTTTAGAGGGATTTTTCAGTTAGCATCTTTTGTTTGTTCCTCTCAGTGACAAAGGTATGACTGCCATATTGTTAAGAGTTCTGGTCTCATTCTTAAAATGTGTGTCAAAGATTTCTCTCTCATTTCTGCATAGAAATGAGGGGTTGCTGAACTCCAACGAATCTCAAATATTGGATTATTGTATTGATGTCTTAAAAAAAAAAAAACACAGAAAAAACTTGCCTTAAAAACAGACTCTCCATATATCTGATTTTTTTAAATAGTATATTTTACTAGATTTCATTCAAGCCTACATGAAGGAACAAATCCACAAGATGCTCATCATTTTCACAAAAGGACCTTAAAAGAAATCAATCTATGTAGAGAAGAACCTGGGATTACAGTAGACCATAAACTGAATATAAGCCAACAGTAAGTGCTCTTGTTGCCAAAAAGTTCAACAGCATACTAACCTGTATTAATGACATAACTAAGTTGCTCCACTTGCAAATCAAGGGCCACATCCACAAGAGCATGGACGTTTGTTTCTACAAGGACAACTGGCAGCAGGACACCTTGTGCTACTGCTACTTGTCCCTGGGGGAATGCCTGTGCCATGCACACTCTGGCACATGGCAAGTTACCCTGGGTGGGATAGGGGAGGCTGGGGTCAGCACTGGACTGGCCCCAGCAGCCTTACCTGGGGTCCTGGGGCTGCAGCAGTGGTGATCCTGCTGCTCAGAGTCTGGCTGGCAGCTGGAACGTGGCTCTGGCCAGCCAGGCTCTGGTTTTGGGCAGCATGCACGGTCTCTGCAAACACTGCCCCATTTTTTTTTTTTGCACAAGTTTTTTGACACCAGGATATCCCTTTGTGCAGGCTTTTTTGCTCCCCCCCCCCCC